GAGAAAGTCAACGCAAGATTGGCTGCGTTGAATATCCTACTAATTCCTTTTGTTAATCTTGTCATGTAGGAGGGTATCACTAGCCTCACATCCTTCGTTGAATTGTAGTTTAATGAACAGTTTCCAATCTCTCTTCGTTCATATCATTCTAATGTCGTATATATATAATACATGTTGTTTTGTTGCTTTCACTGTAAACATTTTTTTTTCAATTAGATGAACATACTACTGAAAATTCTGAAAATATTCAAGTATTTCCTTATCATGGAAGTGGTACACAAGATTTAAATACTAATGATACTGATCAAACAAATGTAAGCCAAATGTGATAATGTTTAGATATGTTTATTATTATTATTATTAATATTTTGGTTTTCTATGAGAATACAGTCAGTCAGTCAGATGCAACGTAGAACTTCGTACGTGTAAGTACATCAGTTCATGTCGCCATACCATATCAACACAGAGATGTAATTTTCAATTCAAATCCAATAGTAGAAGAGGTAGTAAAGGTATTAGGAGTAATCGGAGAAGTTAGGATTAGAAGACCGTAGCTGCTACCTTGACGTGGTGGTCGGGCTTGCCTATCGGGATGATCCAACCGAGCTATATTGGCTGGAACATATGTTCCTGAAGGTTCTACCATGCCAGACAGGTCGATTGGAGAACGATGAGACTAAAAGCAGCTACTGAAGGTCTGAGGGCGAAGTCGTACTGCTGACTGACTGAAGAGGGGTGTGACAGCAGTAAGGTGTTTCCCTCAGACAACCAGCATCTGCAGCGATGCTGCCTTCTCACAAGGAAGGAAGGGTTAGAAAAGATCGACCCTAAAAATGTCACACCTCATCCTACCTCACGGATTTCCGTCTCCGGCGGTAAGGGTGCCCCACTAAGGGCTTTCGAAAAGGGCGGAGCTAATCCTCAAAAAACCTTTCATAACAAGGCCGTGCGTGATCGGTCTCAAGCAGTTGTCCCTCGGACTCTGCGGTCACGCAACCAGGTCTCCGAGACCAACACTAATCTACCTTCCTTTTCAGGTCCCTCAAGAAACAACCTTCCACGATGTGGGCGACCGGGAAGTGATAACCGCCCTCATAACCGTAACAGCACGAGAGACCAAATTGGTAGAAATCAAATCCTTCCTATGAGAATACATTTTTAAGTTTATGAAAAAGTACTAATAGTAGTATATTGGTGAAGTCTTACGGTTTTTTTCTTGCCGAATAGATTTTGTTAGTATATGGAATCCACCTTGAGCAACTAAGCAAGCGCGTTCGGAATGCAATTCTTCCCGTCGAAATATAAAATGTTGCTTCAAGATTGGGTTTCATCGGCACCTGAAGCAGTTGAGCGTTTTGACCGCTTCACTGATCTCGGGAGTTTCATCAGTACTGATGACCTGGTGTGGAACGACATCTCAGCACGGATGCAGAAAGCTCGACTGGCTTTTGCCAGCTTGTGTAACTTATGTCGTAGGTGAGATGTCCGTTTGCTAACTAAAGGACGAATGTACTGCGCAGTAGTTCGCTCCGTCTTAATTTATGGCTGTGAAACGTGACCAGTTAGAGTAGAGGATATTCTTAGGTTACTAGTATACAGTCATAGGTGTCTTCGAAGCATTGCTCGTATATCCTGGGATAATCGAGTAATCACTGCAGTTGTTACGAAAAGGGTACTAGGTAAGGATGGAAAATCAAGTGATGAAGTATTGAAACTTCATCAGTTGAGGTGGTTGAGACATGCTTTGCGTAAGTACAGCTGTCGCTTGCCTCCTCGAGCTATTTTTTATGGTATTGGAGTAGGTTGGAAGAAAGCTAGGGACGGCCTAATCAAAAGATTATACAATCGATGAAGTCACTGACAGGTGAGTTGACTCATGTTGGTAAGCATAGACTACCTAGTTAGAATCCTCTAAATGATAGTAATCGATGGTTAGACATCCCGAATGACATAACTCAAAATCGTTTGCAATGGCGCAGGTTCATCCATTCTTTGTGTTCTCTGAAATTCTAATCTTAAGAATTACTCATAACCTTTATCTTTCTAAATTTGTACAACTGAATTACACTTCTTGGATAATTTCTTCGAACCCTAATCTCTCTGATTACTGCTTATACTTCTACTACCTCTACTACTATGGGATTTGAATTGACAGTTGCATATCTGTGCTATTGTAGTATGGCAACTTGAACTGATGTACGTACAAAGTCCTACGCGGCAGGTGACTGACCGAATAAAAGAATCCAGAATGCATCTGTTATATTTTATTTCACAAACTCGCCTACTGGATCTTTTGCATTATTGATTTGTAGTGATGCTTCACTTGTCTATATATATATCCGTGCAATGTGTCACGTGACGAGTGGAGTATTAGACCGTACTGTTAACTGTATGATTGAAATTTTTTGATAGTCAATTCATAACAACGATTTTGTTAATTTGATCGACTGGTCGTCGTCATCTATCCATCTTATAGTTCACTCAAATCACAACTTCTTACCATAAATTTTAAAATTCATCTTGAAGCATTCTATTAAACGAGCATTTATATGATTGGTGTATCGTTTTTAAAGATATTCGTTTTCATTTTGTGGAGTTGATATCAATTGGGAAACTTTTAATGACTAATCATAAACTAGACAGTCGATATTGAGTAAGGTGGGATCTTAGTTAAGGTGTTCTTTACAGCGGTGGAATCCAATAGTAGTAGACAGTATTTCAGTCGGACAGACAGATACAACGCAGAACTTTGTACGTAAGTACATCAATTCAAGTTGCCATGCCCCATCAGCACAGAAACCTAACTGTCAGTTCAAATCCAAGAGTGATTGCAGTCAGCAGAACGACTTCGCCCTCAGACCTTCAGTAGCTGCTTTTAGTCTCATCGTTCTCCAATAGACCTGCCTGGCATGGCAGAACCTTCAGAAACATATGTTCCAGCAGCAGCTACGGTCGGGCAGTATTCCGGTCACTCAGTTAGTATTTTAATCGTTGGGTCAGTCGGTTGCAACCTGGAATTCGCTACATACTTCCACCAATCAGTTCAAGTTGCCCATAAACCACCAGATAGAGGCAAATCATGCAGTAGTAAAAGTTGTAACAGCAGTATTCGGGAGTAACAGAAAACATTAGGAATCGAATCAGGTATAAAGGGGAAATGGGAAGCTTATAATTTTTTTGCGGGGGGGGGGCGATTACAAAGAAGCGAATGCACTTTTTCGGCATTGTAATCAATTCAAAGTGTCTAGCGCCCACTGATTATTTATTTTAAATCTTATCAACAGTAAAATTTGTACACATTCGGTTTTCCAGTTATACTACTAGTAGTGATAACAGTAGTATGTTTAGAATATGGTTTGATTTATTTAAAATTTTCTTGTTTATTTTTAGGCTTTCGGTGGAGATGAACTGAACAATCCACAAGAGGATGATAAAACGGTAAGTTTATATATTTTATCGATTTATTGATTCAATATTTTCCTACAATGGACTTGTAATTTTTTCTGTGAGAAAATTTAACTTTCAGTAGATTTGCTCGATTAGTAGTGTTACAAGATTGATTTCAAAGGATTTTCAAACTTTTGAACAACAGTCTGTGTGTTATGTAATGCAGAAAAGCTAGATACGAAGGAAAGAAATCAACTGTAAAAGTCGTGCCTTTCTTCCAACAAGTTTTCAGTCTTGCTGCTTAAGCTTACTGAAAATAATCTTGCACAACACTTTGTTGTTGTTCTCCTAAATTGATAAAGTCAAAAAGGTATTAGCTAAGGAAGGCAGATTATTAGATGAAGTAGTGAAGTGAATGCTCAACCACTGACGACTACCTCAGCGAGCGTTGCTTTTCAGTGTAGGATTATATTGAAAACCAGGTGGCGGCCAGGCTAAAAAAAAATGTCACAGATCCATGAAGTCACTGACAAGTTGACTGAGTCATGTTTGTAAGTGTAGAATACTAGGTCGGGGTCTGCGAGATGATAGTAACCGATGGTCAGAGTCCTTGAATCACATGGCGCCGATGCATCCATTCTTTGTGTTCGCTCAAATGACCATTTTCCTCTTTTGGAATTGATTCCACTGAGATATACTCCTCGGATGATATCTTCGATCACGAATCTTTATAATTACCGCTAATTATTTCTAATACTATGGGATTTGAATTGATAGTTGCATCTCTATGCTAATCTTTGGTATGGCAACTTGATCCAATGTACGTACGTACGAAGTTCTACGTTGTAACTGACTGAATAAAGATCAGATGTTGATAGATGACTTAATAAGAAAGATTCCTACATGATCTGACAACCTATGTCTAGGCGTATTCAAGCGCTCACCTTCTTTAAAACATGTATGGATCTCATTACTTGCTAACGTTATACAACAACCACCTTGTGTTATCACAAGTTATAAGGTGTGATCAGCTCATTGGCTATAAGACATAATCAGAGTGTGCCAACTACTACTACTACTTTAGTGAAGGAGAACACAGGTGAGGGCAACTGAATTGTATTTATCTCAAATTACAGAGTTAATTGGTAAAATAGGAAAACCATATCGTAAATCGTTAATTTGTAAAACATCAATCCCTCATCTATCCATTGTCTGACATTTCACTTATTCATGCGTTTCATACAAATTCCATTGTGTTCCCCCCACTCTTCCTTTCTTGTTGATCTTCCCCCATCTTCTGCTACCAGACATTATGTTTTCACTCGCGTCATATACTACTTATAAGTAGCGCGCACCACACTACTACTACTACTACTAGTAGTAGTACCCATTTTGAATCTAGGTAATTCATTGCTTTAAATCGACTCACTTTATTTTTCTTTTCTGTGTACCTCATCAATTGACTTCATCATGCTGTGCTGTGCAACACAGGACATCAATAATAATAATAATATCGATTCTATTGATGATGCTGATCACAATCCTCCGCCTGCACAATATGGCAATCAATCGAATCAAGGAAATAGTTTCGGTGAAAAATATACAACTTCATTTAGCGAGTCTAATACTACTACTACTACTACTTGTGAAATGAATTCACAACAACAACCACAACAACACAGTCAACAGGCGCGGAAAAAGAATCCCAACAATTCTGGTCCAAAACCAACATCAAACAATAGAAGTTTATCGAATCAACAAAAATCAATAACTAAGGTTAGTTTTTTTGATGATTCGTGATGTGGAAAACTATGAAATTTGACAGTTTTTATACAGCCACTATAGTAATAATAATAGTGATATTACTTACGCCTGTTACTCCTAATGGAGCATAGACCGCCGACCAGTATTCTCTCCAACCTACTCTGTCCTGGACCTTCCTTTCTAATTCTACCTGTTATGCTCGTCACTTGATATGCTTGAAACTATTTATTAGAGGTTCACCTTAGTTGATAAACGAGAACGAGACAATGAACCAGTGTCCGGGTAGGCTAATCTGATCGGTTGCCTCAAAGGAACTAACGAAGAAGTCTTGATATAGCGTAGCAAGCACAGTGATCTCAAGCACACAAAGCGCGTTTATTTATACAATGATAGAAACGTCCTTGGGAGAGCCACAAAAATAGCACACTAAAATAACACAGTAACCAATCACAACCAAGGATTTTCCTGGTGAGAAATGTGATCTCAAGATCAACTGATCATCAGCCCATGAATAAAATCCGAAATTAAGGCCTTTATCATGTGAGTTCTGGCGATCCCACGTCCCCACCACTACCCAGTTGCTGTTCATTCTTTTCATGTCCGCTTTCAAGCTTTTCGTGATCTACTTAATAGAGAGGAAACAACCATTGAGAACAACTGGAAAAGGATCAATGAAGCAATCACTTCTACATATCATAAGGTTCTGGCCCACAGGAAGCATCATCACAAGGAATAGATCTCTGTGGATACAGTGAATAAGATCCAATAAAGGAAGAATAAGGAGGCAGCAATCAATCACAGACGAATCACATGCTGAATATACTGAAGCAAACAAGGAAGTGAAAAGGTGCTTCAGCGCTGAAAAACGTAAATATATGGAAGACCTAACAGTAAGACAGCGGAAAAAGCCACCAGAGAGGGAAATATGGGACTACTATATGATACGATGAAGAAGCTCGCTGAGAAATATAGTAAACTAAAGCGGCTAGTCAACCAATCATTGAGATAAAACAACGGCAGGATAGGTGGATAGAGCACTGTGAATAGCTCCCTAAACGATACTGGATCAAAATGGCCTCGATGAAGCACCGACAGTCGTAGAAATCAGCATGGCCATACGAAAAATCAAGAGTGGCAAAGTAGCAGAACCAAACGATATACCGTCTTCCGCATTGAAATCAGACAGAAGCAACTATATATATACATTTATATTAGTTTTTTCGTGCTTATCAAGCTTCTATACTTTTTTCAACTTGTTGATTCAAATTTAACGTCACTCTGCGACCACGTTATAGAAACATTACTGTGGTAATCCGAAAACTGCCACTATCAGTTTTCATTTCTAAAACAGAATAGTTGTGGAGATTGTTACATTTCAATGGTTTAGAGGCCAAACGTTTGCGCACAAGACCGAAAGTCTTTGGTTCGCTTCCCACCAGCGGGGATCATGGCTACGCATTGCCGATGAGTCCCATACTACGATGAAACGGTCGTCTTAACAGTTCTTTCAGGTTTCTAACGGCGGTCTACCACTGATTTTTCATGATATCAGAACAAATATTCTGATGAAATTAGGTGGTGTGGACCTGGTGAGAAACCTTTCTACCTTGTATTTGCGGCTTGTTGAATCTAGTCTCTTTCGGAATTGGCTTTTGCCAACGTGCGTCACTTATGGAGTAGGCCAGATATCCGTTTGCTGACTAAAGGACGAGTGTACTGTGCAGTAGTTCGCTCCATCCTCGATTATGGCTGTGAAACATGGCCAGTGAGAGTAGAAGATATTCGTTGGTTACTGGTTTTTGATCATAAGTGTCTTCGAAACATTACTCGTATATCGTGGGACACCCGAGTGAGCAACGCTGTTATAAGGAATCGGGTGCTAGGTAAGAACGGCAGATCAATGGATGAAGTGGTGAAACTTGATCAGTTGAGGTGGCTGGGACATGTGTTGCGTATGCCTAACCATCGACTGCCTCGACGAGCTTTGTTTTGTAGTGTAGGAATAGGTTAGAAGAGAGCTAGGGGTGGCCAAACCAAAACACGACAGTAATCCATAAAGTCATTGACGAGTGGACTTAGCCATGTCGGTAGTTGTCGACTGCTTGGTTAGGGTCCGCGAGATAATAATAATCGGTGGTTAGAGACTTTGAATGACATGGCTCAAAACCGTGTGCAATGGCGCCGGTGCATTTATTCTTTGTGTTCTCTCATATCCTAATCTTCTGGATTCTTCAACACTTCTAGTTTCGACTTTCTAAACTTTTCTCACTGAATCATACTTCTTGAATAATATCTTCGAACCCTGGTCTTCTTCATTAGCATTAATACCTCTACTATCTCTATCACTATGGTATTTGAATTGATAAACGCGTCTCTGTGCTAATGTGGCTAATGGCAACATGAACTGTTGTGCTTACGTACGAAGTTCTAAGTTACATCTGACTGACTGACTGACTCTCGGAATTTGAGAATGTCAAGTGAAGAATCTCTGCGTATGATCATCACAAACTGTTCTCCCGTTTTATTCCTGTTTTTTGTTTCTTTATAGGGCGAAACTGTTGAAGTAGACATGGAGCATTCAACCAACCAACCAGAACAACAACAACAACCTGACTCCATGTTAAATAATCAACATTCGGAATTATTTCAACATTTACCAAATTCTGAAAATTTAACAAATGATGCTGATGTGAATGATTTTCCATGTGTTCGTGATTCAGCTACATTAGATCAAGCTGAACAACAACAGCGACAACAACAGCTGAACCAATCTACAACCGGTGATGGTGATGCAGAGATGCAGAATGATATTGGATTAGAACAGGACAATGAGGGTGGTGATGATGAGAACGAGAATGGAAAAGTGCCAACATCTGAATTAGAGGTATACACTATACTATACTATACTAATATTGTTTAATTGTATTTCATTGTATATGGATTGTGTTGAAATTTTTTCATGGAGTAGTAGTGTTGTGGAGTGCTGAGCTTGATCCAGTATGTGTATGTGCATTATATACGCCAATTGGCGTCGATTACGCCGCCAAATCCCCAATTTAAGCATTCATAGGGTAGTACAGGTGCTAGATAGGGGTGGGGGGCACATAGAACACTAGAGAATTTTTAGAAGCTTAGCACTCCTCACAAGTCAATCAGCAATCAACATCACACACATTGACATTTTGATCCAATTTATCAGTCAATCAGAAAAATCATAGGATGAAGAAACAGATCAAATGGTGAGTTTACAATCAAAATAAAAAGTGCAAACAACGACACGTTTAAGGTCAATAACAGCAACCAATCAAAGACGGAGGTTAACAGAACAAGCTATGAGTCTCATACTTCACTTTTTGCTATCTGAAATTTGTGCTGCTGCTGATGTTGTTGTTGTTGTTCAGAAGTAGAGCGATGAAAGCTCCACAACCAAAACATCATCCAGTTCAGAGTTACGAAACACCATCACAAAGTACAGAAGTGCATCTGGCAGCTGATGATGATAACGAGTCCAACAAAGGACGAAACACGCGTGTTTGATTTTGTTTAAAATGTTTGTTTATTGATTTTCGTTTTACAAATTTATCAATAGTATTGCATAATACTATAGCAAATTGACTGATTTTAATTAAGTATGGATATGTTGAAGTTCAATTTAGGGACAAAAATATTAACACACTCATTGTGTGGATACCTAAAAGTTAAGAATTTGAATATTTTTTGACGGTGTTGTGGTAACATGTCACTTAGACGAGCCTCATACAAGAATGAAACAGATGTCTAGTACAAAGAGGCATGCAAATATTCATGAGCTACACAAATGATTGGATTTTTGACTGGCCTGGGTAGTTTTACTAAGAGGCCCTTCACTGAGCCTTTGACTTAAAGGTGTCTAATCCATAAGGCAGTGGAACAACATCAAGGGATATGGTCCCATAATAGCCGGTCTACAACAATAAGTTTATATGTCATTTCTTTTCTGAGGATTCTGAAATCCATGTGAAGCATCAGTTTAGAATGAGGGTTTGCTAATTACCGTACCCACCAGCCGGGTGAAAACGTCGGATACTGGGTTATCGTTCTTTCAATTTCGTGAACAACCCTCTTCACTGTGAGAAAGCATTGGGTATAACTTCCTTGACAGTGGTTATGTACACTTGGCCATATGAAAGCATTTCAATAGAGGGAGAGAGAGAGAGCACAGACTCTCCTCATTCTCGATGATAGCAGGGCATTTGGAGGCTGCGTTATTTCAATATGCCTATCCCCGATCCTTTGATCCAAAGGTCTAATCCACAAGGCAGTGGAGCAACATCAGGAGATTATGGTCCTATGATAGTCGGTCACCAACAGTAGATTCATATGCCATTTGTTTTCTGAGGGTCCTGGAACTCATGTGAACCATTAGTTTATAATGAGGGTTTTCGAACGGGTAAAAACGTCAAATACTCGCTTATCGTCCCCTCAGTTTCATGAGTAACATCCCCACCGTGAGAAACCAGTGGATAAGACTTTCCTAATAGTAGTTATGGCTATATGAGATTGTTTGCAGAGAGAGTGTGTGTGAAGTCTCCTCACTGTCAACCGTAGCAGGTCATTTAAAGGCCTGCGTTATTTCAACATGACATAACTAATTTTTTATTCTTCTACAATGATTCAATCTTCCTTCTTTTTTTTTCGTATAGCAAACTGATACTCCAATAAATGTATTACCATCTCAACAAAATCAACAATGTAAACCTTTTAAAAAAGGCAATCAAGTACCCGGTTCCACTGAAACAATGGAATCGGATCCAACAGCAGAGTCGGTGTTAACTTCAAGCGCACAAAGACCACCGGAATCAATTAGTTGTACACGAGTAAGTTTGAATTAATTTGTGTGTGTGTGTTGTTGTTGTTGTTGCTCACTACTATTTTTATTCAGTAGTTGATAGAGTGTTCTGTACAAAACTAGAAGCTATGGTTATATGTACTGGTACACACTTGTCAGACATATGTAGCTGTAATCTTGATGGCGACGATTGACATACGGGTTGACCTTATCTCAGTGCTTGTTCTTTACTGAAGCTTCAACTGGACATAAAAATCTGACGAATTGAAAATGCAGAATTACTCATATTGTAACTACTGAATTATATGAAATACAGTCCGAAACTTCAACTCCTGAATTATATACAATATGTATTAAGTTCATGTACCAATCAGAGAACAGCTAATAACAGCAAGGCAAAACAATTAGTCCCTTTTATAAATTTTGATACAACAGTGAGAAGACATAAATGATCTGAAAAATGTGATGTATTTGCGCTCTATACATTTCAAATAATCTGAGGAGCAGGAGTCGTGGATGCGCACTGCTGATGAGTCCCATACCAGGACGAAACGGCCGTCTAGTGCTTCCAGGTTTCTAACGGTGGTCTAACAACGATTAATTGATGATTTCAAATGTGTAAAAACGCAAACCTCCAAAACTGTACCCCAAAATATCACATATATTTACTTGTTAAGTCATTTTATATGAAGATGAATAAAAGGTCAATTAAATAAAAGTTCAAATAGACATAAGGTGATAATTGTGAAAATGAAGGAGAGAGAAAATTAACGTAATATGAAAAGAATAATAAGAAAGGGTAGGAAATTGTCACATTACCATAGGCTTAAAGATTACCAAGGTAAATTCAATGTTATGACAATTTGTTTCTGTACACATAAGAGGAGAGAGTTTAATTTTCTAATAGCCAAGGCCTCCATAAACCTCAAAATTTGTCCTTCAACATTTCTATACAATTTGTTTGAAGGCTGTCTTGATGTCAATCTTATGCGCCCTTTCTTAATTATGTGTTTTGCAAAACTGTAAGCAAACGCGTCAAAATGCGAATGATGTCACTATCGAAATATAGAGACTTTTACTATGGAATAAACGTTCTTTGTTGCAAGTATTAAAAGGTTGCATCTCTTGCTATCCTATGCCATACTATGTGTGTATACCATATGCTATACTGCTATATAGAGCTGAAGGCTTCCTATGAAACGACTAGAGGTTTGTCGTGAACATTGTGGATGGTTTGACATTACTGTGACAAGTTTTAATAATAGTCCATATACAAAATTGCTTTACAGAGTGACCGATTGGTTGTCTTGCAACATTTTCGAGGGCCATTGTCATTGGGGTGCTGTATTGCTAATAATGACGAGTTTGAATGTCATGTTAAGCGGGATGGGTCGAATTGGCCTGTGTCATGCGGTACATATTGATTGCCGCGATCGTGGATCGGAAATAATCACGATATATGTACTAGTGTATATAAGTGGTGTGAATGGTTCGTCAGGGTATTTGGTACCTGTGTGATCGAGCCACGGGGTTGAGTCGAACTGTTCACGTTGTAGTGTTAACACGTGGGTAGTCTCCTTAGTTCTCCTGAAAACCAATGTAAAATTACCATTGCCAATTGAGGGTGAATTTATGTAATTTGTAAACAAATCGGAACAAATATAAACTGAATATTGTTAGCTTATGTCAGTTTTCAAAAGCGTTACATAACAACTGACAAACTTCATACTAAATGTTGAAAAGTTTTTGGCAATAAAAACGGGTTACTGAATATTAATAAGTAGTATAAAATAATACACTCAAAAAGAAACGAGGTGTATTTTAATTAACATTTGTTTTCACTCGTTCGTTTTTCTTAAGACTGAAGTTTTGCTTCAACCAATTGATGTCAATATGTCGACAGAGATGTCAACAAATATAGAAATTTTAGAAAATAAATTTACCGAAACAACACTTGAAAATTGTCTTGATTGGTCATTTTATTGTCAACGATCAAGTAGTTTATCACGTCAGTTATGTGAAGCACTTCGTTTAGTATTGGAACCAACTAAAGCTTCACGTTTACGTGGGGATTATCGTACTGGAAAACGTATTAATATGAGAAAGGTTAGTTTGTTTACAAATCTTTAAACTGTGTATAATGAAGTTCGACAATCGCTCACAACAGCGATTTATTTTGGTAGAAAACCAGTTTATCGAGTCATCTTTTTGTGTCGATATGCGAAGGTGCAGTCTTTCGGTTTTCATCTATGCAACATGTAATTTCTGCACGAAGACTGTTATAACGCTCAAATTTCTCTCTATATTAGATACTCAACTAGCGCTATTCGATTAGATTTCAACACAACTCTTACATCTCTTCTGGTCTTAAATACACTCTGATAGCAACCTCTAGTCAATGTTACGCTGTATAATACTTATATTCCACTTTATAAGTAACATCCGCTATACACTAGTTTCCATGCTAAATCCAATCGTTAAACTTTTGAAACGTAAAATACTGAGGGGTTCGAGTGACAGTATATGAACATCACCATTGGTATGTAGGTTCATTTAGCTAATGAGCTCTAACGTGAATGAGACGCGTTTCCTGAATTCAATCGCCTCCCAACTAAAATGTATCCACGAAATAGCCACATCGAAGTAATTTGTAGTGCCTCCACATAAACTTGAGTTCGCCCATATTTAATTTGATTCTTAGCCATGCTCTATTTCTTTGAGTTGGCTCACTAGCCTTCTCCACATCGCTTCCTTCGCCCATTCGTTCGCATTGTAATCCTGGGAGTTGGCTCAACAGCCTTCTCCAATTCACGTCGCTTCATTCGTTTTATTCGCCGCTTCTCCGATTCGCTTTGTGGTGTGTCCCACCCAAATAAACGTATTCAACACTACGAATTCATCTTCTGATTTATAAACCGTCAGACACTATTTAGTAACGATTGTCTGGACGAGTTAATTACCGAGCTTAAGAACACGCAATAAATCGACACACTACAAATTCACTTTTAATGCTACACATATACCGACAAAGACTAGTTAAATTTCATCCCTAAATTTGAACAAGGGAAATGTTTTTTTCCAGCTTAAAGAGTACTATTAACAAAATGTGTTGATTTTTCGTTTTAATACTAAATAAATAAGAATATGTGTTTAGAAGACATTTTTGATTTTACGAATGTTCTTAGAGAATAAGAAGTCGATGAAGTAGCTTTTATTTTCCAATGATTGACAGTATCAGTAGGTTAGTCAAATACAACGTAAAACTTCATACATACGTACATCAGTACAGGTTGCCATATCACACATTAACACCAAGACGCAGTTGTCAGTTCGAATCCCATAATAGTAGAGGTATTAGCAGTGATCGGTGAAGGTTAAGGTTCTAAGATATTATTCAAGAAGTATAACCAAGTCAGTCAGTCAGGCAGTCAGGTGCAACGTAGAACTTCGTACATAAGTACATCAGTTCATGTTGCCATACCACATCAGCACAGAGATGTAATTGTCAATTCAAATCCAATAGTAGAAGAGGTAGTAAAAGTATTAGAAGTAATCGGAGAGGCTAAGGATTAGAAGATATTATTCAAGAAGTATGATTCAGTGAGAAAAGTTTAGAAAGTAAAAACTAGAGGTGTTGAAGAATCCAGAAGACTAGGATTTGAGAGAACACAGAATAAATGCACTTGCGCCATTGCAAACGATTTTGAGCCATGTCATTCAAGGTCTCTAACCATCGATTATTATCATCTCGCGGATCCTAACCAGGTGGTAGACGACTACCGACATGGCTCAGTCCACTTGTCAATGACTTTATGGATTTGTGCCATTTTTTGGTTTGGCCGCCCCTAACTTTCTTCCAACCTATCCCTACACTACAAAACAAAGCTCGTCGACGCAGTCGGTGGTTAGTCAAATAAGCTTAAAAACAGAAAGATAAATCTGATAAGGAATTTGGAAGACTAGTACTTGAGAAAAGACAACGAACGGATGCACCTGCATCATTGCGAACGATTTTGAACCGTGTCATTCAAAGTCTCACGGACACCAACCAGGTAGTGTACACCTACGAACCTAGCTCAATCCAGTTGTCTGTGACTTTATGGATTTATGCCATATTTTGGTTTGATCGCACCCCTTGTCATCATCATCATGAGTATTTCACTAGTTCAGATGAAAATTATTATTAGTTTTAACCATTTTATTGTATATTTATGTATTATACCTCATTGATTCATTCTTTTGTTTCATTTTCAAAGATTATACCATATTTAGCAAGTCATTTTCGTAAAGATAAAATTTGGTTACGTCGTGCACAACCAAGTCAACGTGAATATCGTATTCTAATTGCTGTGGATGATTCATCATCAATGTCTGAAAATCTTTGTAAACAAGTAAGTAGTAATCAAGATGAAAAGCTTATTGATTTCGTGTATACACTCATAGCGCACGTATGAAAACAAATTGAAGGCGTTAAATGAAAGTTTTGTAGCTGAGCATCTCACCCCATTCATTCATACATTGTTCTTCAGACAGATAGGGGTATGAGGGCGGTTATCACTTCCCGGCTGCCCACACCTTGGTTGTTTCTTGAGGGGACCTGAAAAGGACGATAGATTAGTGTTGGTCTTAGAGACCTGAGAGCGTGACCGCAGAGCCCAGGGGACAACTGCTTGAGGCCGGTCACGCACGGCCTTTTTATGAAAGGTTTTTTGAGTATTAGCTTCGCTCTTAAAAGCTGTCAGTTGGCATCCTTACCGACGGAGACGGAAATCCGTGAGGTAGGGTGAGATGTGACATTTTTAGGGTCGACCTTTTCTAACCCTTCCTTCCTTGTGAGAAGGCAGCATCGCTGCAGATGCTTGTTGTCCGACGGAAACACCTTACTGCTATCACACCCCTCTGCAGTGAGCAGTACGACTTCGCCCTCAGACCTTGAGTAGCTGCTTTTAGTCTCACTGTTCATTCTCCAATCGACCTGCCTGGTGTGGTAGAACCTTCAGGAACATATATTCCAGCCAAATAGCTTGGTTGGGTCATGAAGATAGTCAAGCCTGACCACCACGTCAAGGTAGCAGCTACGCTTGGGCATTGTTCTTCAATGATTGGTCGTTCAATTATTATTCGATTACAGTATCGATTATTGTATATTTGATTGTGTGTGTGTGTGCATGCTTACTCGTTTATCACATGTCTAAGGGGATGGGGTCGTTAACTCTAACGCTCAATCGCTCCCTCCTTTCCTCCAGACTTGGGGACCGGTAGTAGTAGTAGTAGTAGTAGCCTCAGGGGGGCTCTACGCGGTGGGGAGTAACTTACATAAAATTATGAAATATATTAGCATAATTACAAATAGATTATTATTCTGTTTCATTTTTAACTCTGTTTATTCTTTGTTTTTGTTGAATTTATCATAGATGACATTTGAATCATTGACAACAGTAATTACAGCATTGAATCTATTAGAAGTTGGTCGAATTGGTGTTTGCAGGTATGTATATCAATGTGAATGTTACTTGTTCGTGATTAAATTACTACTAGTGTGTTTTATTTCTCTTCATTCATTATAAGTACACATAAATCGTTTTTGACTGACTGACAGTGTTTCTGTGAAAACTTGAAAAACAACAAGACTCGACTGTTTTTTTCTCGAACAACGTGTCAAGCTTTTTAACCTCTTAATTATTGACAGATCAGATCACTCTTTTGAATTGTGAACTGAACTGGAGTTCAATTGTGTGTCGGGTGTGTGAGGTTTGTACCCGTGGAAGATAATGGATGATGTGATTTGACTGTTATGTGCGCAGTCTCATGCTGAGGCTAGACAGTCATCCAAAATGCCAACAAGGTAGTTGACAACTACCGACATGGCTCAGTCCACTTGTCAATGACTTCATGGATTTCTGCTATGTTTTGGTTTGGCCGCCCCTAGCTCTCTTCCAACCTATTCCTACACTACAAAACAAAGCTCGACGAGGCAGTCGGTGGTTGGACATACGCAACACATGTCCCAACCACCTCAACTGATGAAGTTTCATTACTTCATCTATTGATCTGCCATTCTTACCTAGCACCGTTTCCCAATAACAGCGTTGCTCACTCGGGTGTCCCACGATATACGAGCAATGCTTCGAAGACACCTATGATCGAAAACCAATAACCGACGAATATCTTCTACTCTCACTGGCCATGTTTCACAGCCATAAAGTAAGACGGAGCGAACTACTGCGCAGTACACTCGTCCTTTAGTCAGCAAACGGATATCTGGCTTACTCCATAAGTGACGCAGCTTGGCAAAAGCCAATCGAGCCTACTGTATCCGTGCTGAGATTTCGTTAGTCACCAGGCCATCAGCACTGATGAGACTCCCAAGATAAGTGAAGCGGTGTACACGTTCGACTACGTCACTCCCTATCGCTAGTTCAGGTGTCGATGAAACCCAAATGGCCATTCAACATTGATCAAGTCATGATTTCAGTAAAATAAACAATAGACTTATTGAACATTTACCACCGTACTGAAAATTATTACATCTGCATAGAATGTGTCACTTTGTGTATAATGCATTTGACTATTGAAAAGTCATTGAGTTATAAGCGTGCAACATTGCAATCTCTGTGTAATTCAGTTGGGAAGGAGTTGATTTCGATCAATATGGTTTCGTGTACTGTTACGAGTTTGATGGTTGATGTCACTTCCTGGCTGCCCACACTGTGGAAGAGTGCTTCTTGAAGAACCTGAAAAAAGAAAGTTAGATTAGCGTTGGTCAGAGAGACCTACGAGTGTGACCGCAGAATCCAAGGGACAACTGTTTGAGGCCGGTCACGCACGGCCTTTTCATGAGCTCTGCTCTTTAAATGGTGTAACATTTTCAGGGTCGACCTTTTCTAACCCCTTCCTTTCTTGTGAGAAGCCATCATCGGTGGAGATGCTGGTTGTTCGAAGGAAACACCTTACTGCTATCAACAGTCAGCAGTATGACTTCTCTCTCATACCTTTTAGTCTCACTGTTCATTCTCCAATCGACCTGCCTGGCATGGTAGACATACCTCGGTTGGGTCATTACGACAGGCAAGTTCAACCATCACATCAAGACAGCAGTGATATATACAAGCGAGCTAAAAATAACAGAGAATAGAATGGACATCTAGCAATACGACTAAGAATAATAAATCACACAACTCTAGTTAATGAGTTCATCACAAGAGTTTATGACAAAATGAATGTAAATATGTAATAATCTAGTTATTTACCTGTTACGAATGCATGGAAACACGTCATATTGATATGCTTGAACTATTACGAGTTCATCTTAGTCGGAAAACGATAGCCAGGATCCGGGGACTCGACAGGCTACTCTAATTCGATTGTCTCAACCCCCCCCCACTGAGTAAAACAAGAAGACTTGATATGAAGTAGAACATGTATTCTATAAGCATCCAGAAAGTACGAGGTCCGAGTCCAGAAGAGAATCAGGATCCCTGACTACGGATCCAGGTTCGTGTCCGGGTCATAAAACGTTAAACATAATGAGTATTTATATAGTTAGGTTGAATAGGAACCAACACTGAAGTATGTGAGGACCGTAATATTGACCAATAGGAATGGACCAATAGAATTTACACTTACAAAATACATCTTTGTAGGATATTTGGTGAATATCCTAACATCAACAATCATACAATGAGAGTAATAATAATCATTATAATCTTAAGAGTTACAGCATTTTTCTCTAGTCTTTCTTCGACTAAAACAGGTATCTCATTATTCTTTTTATAGAAAACCAAAGCCAGTAATATTTGGACTAAGAAATTGCAAAAAAATGAATAAAATTCATGCATTTTTCTTTATTTCTTGAATAGTTTCGGTGAATCTGTACGTGTACTGCATGATTTAAAAGATCCATGGCAAACAGATGCTGGTCCACGTGTATTAAGTCAATTCACTTTTGAACAATCGAAAACATCACTTGTTCAAGTGAGTTTTTTTTTATTGAAAATGTGTTACAATAATTGAATTAATATATTTGGTTTGCTTTAAAAATAACATTGCTATTGCATTACTGTTGAGGACGTTAGATCTCCCAGAACTCACTTGGAAAAAGTACTAATTTCGGATTTTCTGTGTTTTCACGCATAAGTTGCTCAGTTGACCTTGAGATTACATTTCCTACTTGGCTGTTATTTGTTGACATAACATTTTAGTACGCTATTTTTGTGTCCCTACAAAGGACGTACAGCTATTCAGTCCTAGCGGCGTCCAACTTCAAATATCCCAACACGACCCAAAATGCTATTAACAAATCTCCTATATATATATCAGAACGCAACACAGTAGGGTGGAGTTGTTTATTGGATCGAGTACAGAAGAGAGGTAGACAGGAAGGAACGGAATCCTGGAGTCTTACAGATAGTGCATATTTATACATTTAGGTCGAATAGGAAAGATCATCGAAGTCTGTGACATTGACAGTTTAGGACGACGACCAATAGGAAAGAACATTTGAAATGACATTGACAGTCCGACTGACCACCAATAAGAGACAACATTGAAGTATTTGACTTTGACAGTTAAAACGATCATAATTTTGACCAACAGAAATCGACCAGTAGGATTATACTTCCAGAAATAGTAGTACTCTTAGGATATTTGGTGAATATCCTAACAGTTTCTATGATGTATGAATAAACTCGACTTGTGTGCTTATGGACCTCATATATTCTGAGTGTTTGTAGAATACACTTTCTACGCCTTTCAAGACTTCTTGCTACAGTTAACAGGGCCGGCGAAAATTTAGTCAGAATAGCCTGTCGTGTCACTGTATCAGGTAACGTGAACTCGTAATACCATTCAAGCGTATCATTTGCTCACCGAATCTATGGCTTCATCAGGAATCGAACTCAAGATCTTTAGGTCTAGTTCTCTTGTAGAGTTATGTACGCACATTGCTAGAGAGTTTCATCCTAGAAGGTAACAACTTTCCATTACTCCTTCCAACGTTGAATCAAGTAAGATCAATCTTCAACAAGTGCAAACTATAAATCAAACCAATCTCCACGAAATCATTACCAACTTATCGTATTTATGAAGTGCACTTTCTGTTAACTACAATAGAGCAAGGGACGCCGACCCGCATTCTCCAACCTACTTTATCCTGAGCCTTCCTTTTCAGTTCTGTCCAATTGTTGTTCATTATTCTCTTGTCTGTTTCCACTTCTCGGCATAATGTGTTCCATGACCTTTCTCTTTTCCTTTGACCCTGAGAATTCCAAGTGGGGGCTTGTCGTGTGACGCAGTTGTTTGCTTTCCTCAATGTATGTGTCTTATCCACTTCCAGCGCTTCTTCCTGATTTCTTCGTCCGCTGGAATCTGGTTTGTTCTTTCCCACAGTAGGTGACTGCTGATGTTGTTTGGCCAACGGATCTGAAGTATTTTACGTAGAAAACTGTGAATCAATACTTATATCTTCCAGGTGATGGCTTTGGTGGTTTCCCAAGTTTCCGCACTGTTATAATGCTGCTACGTATAGCTATTCAGTCCTAGCGGCCTCCAATTCAAATATCCCAATACAACCCAAATACTATTTCCAAATCTCCTATATATATCAGAACGCAACACCTTTGGATGGAGTTGTTTATTGGGGTCGAGTACAGAAGAGAGGTAGGCAGGAAGGAACGGAATCGGAATCATGAAGTCTTACAGATAGTACGTATTTATACATTTAGGTCGAATAGGAAAGAGCATCAAAGTCTGTGACATTGACATTTGAGGACGACGACCAATAGGAAAGAACATTTGAAATGACATTGACAGTCCGAATGACTACCAATAAGAGACAACATTGAAGTATTTGACTTTGACAGTTAAAACGATCATAATTTTGACTAATAGAAATCGACCAATAGGATTATCCTTCTAAAAATAGTACTCTTCAACTGATTATCCATTTCTAAGTGATTGTACATTGAATCTTTTAAAACTACCTTCTTTTTGTTTAAATCAGAAAATCATTTTATTTATTTATTTTACTGTAGCTATTGAAATCTACTATTCATTTGATGAATTCAACTGGTTACATGAATTCTACGAGTAATACTACTATTCCTAGTCAATTATTACTTATTCTATCGGATGGTGTCTTCTCAGAAGATCCACAAAGTCCATCACTACAAGCCGCTGTTCGATTGGCACGTGATTCTCACATTTTCCCTGTTTGTCTTATTCTAGATGATGTTCGAAAAAAAGTGAGTGTATTTGAGTTATTTGGTGGTGTATGTTTTATTGTTACGTGCTTAAACTCTATCTGCCCATGCATACAAATACCATGATGTGATAGGCGGCTACCTAGTTTAACCTTGAGACTAGCAGTTCGTGGGTTCAGTTGGTGACTGAACGGCCTTAGGGCAGAGGGAAGAAAATCACTCTGTCACCAGATAGGCTGGCAAGTAAGGACTGGTTTACTGCATAGTAGTTCGTTCCGTCCTACTTTACGGCTCTGAAATATGCCCCTTAGGAATAGAGGATTTTCGTAGGTTACTAGTATTCGATCATATGTGTCTTCGAAGGATTGCTCGTATATCCTGGGACACCCGAGTGAGCAACGCTGTTATTAGGAAACGGGTGATAGGTAATAATGGCAGATCAATAGATGAAGTAGTAAAACTTCATCACTTAAGATGGTTTGGAGATGTGCTGTATATACCTAACCACAGACTACCTCGAAGAGCTATGTTTTGTGTTGCAAGGGTAGGCCAGAAGAAAGCTAGGGGCTGCCAGACCAAAACATGGCAGAAATCCATGAAGTTATTGACAAGTGAACTGAGCCATGTTGGTAGGGTCAGACTATTTTGTTGGGGTCTGCGAGATGATAGTAACTGATGGTTAGAGACCTTAAATGACGTGACTCAAAATCGTTTGGTATCGCGCAGGTGCATCCACTCTTTGTCTTCTCTGAAATTCTAATCTTCTGAACTCCTCATCACTTTTGTGTTTCTCTTTCCAAACTGATCTCACTGAATTAAACTTCTTGGATAATATCTTCAAAACCTAATCTTCTCCGATTACTATTAATACTTCTACTACCTCTACTACTATGGGATTCGAATTGACAACTGCCTCTCAGTGTTAATGTAGTATGGCAATCCGAACTAATGTACGTACGATGTTCTACGTTGTAACTGACTGACTGCCTGAGTGTAGCGATTAGCCATCAAATGTTGTAGTTCGATTATCATTAAATCAGGTCAGCTCTGCTGTTGATTTTGAGCCATGTAATCGCTTCATGGGAACCATTAGCATCCTGAACATTGTATAGATTTCTTTCTATAGAATGTTAACTAGCACAATTTCCTATAACGAATCATTTAGATTGATTAGTGGTGGGGATCCACATTACAATTTGATTGAAAAATTTAACTTTACAAATCATGTTCTCGATGTACAGGTTCTTCAACAGTGCGCATCCACGACCGAAAATGAAACCTAGGTTATTCAGTCTCCGGTGGTGGAACGTGAAGTGGTTGTAGTCAGACACTGTACATCACAGTATCTGGCACTAGTGGTCTATAGAGGCTAAGTGTGAGACCGAAGGTCTTGCGAGGTTTAAGATATACATTGGTGGGGAAAGTCACATACTAGGATATAACAGCTTGTCCACATTTTCACTAGTAGCTGTCTCACTCTGATCGGTTTATGATTGTTAGTAGGACATAGATTGAATTAAAGCATGATTGTATTTGTTGCACGCTGATTGGCTCTTTCGTATCCACCAATCAGCGCTAGCCGATACTGAGGGAACATTCTAGAATCTCTTCAAGTAAGAAAACTATCAATATGGTAACGTTTTAGACTTCTTTGTCTTCCATTCTAACCTTGTTATTGGAATATAATCTCTTGTTTTTCCTGTTCAACCATGTTCTGATTTTGATGGGTACGTCTCGAGTGAGTGAATTAATTGATGTCCAAGAATACTACTAAGTATTCGGAAGTAGTTGGGTTGTAACAATCAAAAGAAAGAATTATAACAATATATTTCATGATTTCTCTCTATTTTTTGGTTTTTTTAAAAACAGCATTCCATATTTGATCTTCGACGTTATTGTGGTTCGGGTAAACTACAACCATACATGGATGTATTTCCGTTGCCATATTATTTAGTGTTGAGAGATTTAGCCAATCTACCAAATCTACTTGCTGATGCTTTAAGACAATGGTTTGAATTGGAATCATCATTTGGACGTTAACATGTGCGTAGGTGTGTGTACGTGCGTAAGTGTGGGTGTGTGTGCAGAGTCGAACTCCAATGACTCCTTTAGTGCCACTTGCACGCCTTTCTTGTCTGTACAAATTTGTACAAAATAACTAACTCTCTGTGTGTGTTTTTTCGACTGTCATTTGATTTGTACAAAGGAAAAATTCATAACACAGATTACTTTACTCTTATTACTTGTATGCATTAAATTTAAATTATTTTTTGACCTTTTTTTGTGTGAGAGAGACAGAAAGACAGATAATACAATACAAATGAAAATGTGTACAAATAAATGACTAATTTTACGTATATTAAATGGATAGAAAATGATTTGGTGTTCTATTGTTTATTTTTACGGATTGGATTACTTACTTACTGATGATGGTGATGATGATGATGAATTGAGAGGACGGGGGGGGGTTTGTTAGTTCACTGTGTGAACCTGTTACCCAGTGAATTAGTCAGTCAGTTACAATGCAGGACTTCGTACGTAAGTACGTACGTACATTAGTTCAAAGTGGCCATACCACGATAGCACAGAGATGCAATTGTCAATTCAATTCCCATAGTGGTAGAGATAGAAGTATTAACAGTAATAGGAGAGATTAGGGTTCGAAGATATTATTCAAGAAGTAGAATCTATGGAAATAAATTTGGAGAGAGAAGAAAAGGTCCTGAGCTCATGAGATAGGCTAAAGAATGAATAAACCTGCGCCATTGCAAAGGATTATTTAGCCATGTCATTCAAGGTCTCTAACCATCGGTTACCATCATCTTGCGGACCCTAACCAGATAGTTTACACATACCGATATGACTTAGGAATGAAATTCATTGTGTATGCGAGTGCTGATGAGCAAGCCAGTGAGCTCTGTCTAGTTGACGAGCCAATAAACGTACTTGTGAGTAGGATTAAAATGTACGTATACATGAACTTAGGGAAATGAATCAATAGTAGAAATATTTAAGCGACTAAAATTAAAGCGAATAGAATAAATATGTACGTAGGCGATAAGCCATGCTTAATCATGCCTGTTCATACCAGCGCGACAATAATTGAAGCAGAATGGTACAGTCAGTTGCAACGTAGAACTTCGTACGTATGTACATCAGTTCATGTCGCCATACCACATTATCATAGAGACGTAAATGTGAAATCAAATCCCATAGTGATAGTAGAGATAGTAGAGGTATTCAAATGGTAATGAAGAAGACTAGGGTTTGAAGATATTATTATTCAAGAAGTATTATTCAGTGAAATAAGGTTAGAAAGACAAAGGTAGAGATGCTGACGAATCCAGAAGATTAGGAATTGAGAGAGCTCAACGAATGGATGCACCTGTGCCATTGCAAACGATTTTGAGCCATGTCATTCAAGGTCTCTAACCATCGGTGACTTTTGTCTCGCGGACTCCAACCAGGTAGTCTACATCTACTAACATGACTAAGTCCACCAGTCAGTAATCGTAGTAGCTCACTAACCTATACACAGACTGTACAGCTTGATACTGAGTATGCTCCATATTGATTTGTAATCGATAAACGAATTACAATAAACGATCCTCAATATTGATACATCGAAACAGTTTTTTGGAAACGATCTAATGGAATTCATCAGCAATAATACAATATCGATCATGCTAATATTTGTGTTGAAAATAGTAGTGAATTTATGATTCGGAAAGATGGTGTTGTCTAAATATAGGGGGGGCGCTATATGCAAAGTAGACAACAATGTCAATCAAACTCTATTCACTAGAGTTCAAATTTTACATTTGATTATAAATGATGAATTAGTGTGAAACATATTACTTACTTACTTGCGTACCCTTGTTACTTAAAATGGAGCATAAGCCGCCGACCATTTCTAAGGAGTGTTTTTTTCAGCGAGTTGGCTTTCTACAGGATGGGTTCGCTAACTCCATACCGAAACCTCCTTGTTTATCCAGGCCGGAGAGTGGCAGTAACCCTCCCTAGAAGGGCTTCAGGCGCAGTTGTGAAATATGTTACTTGTACAAATTGTTAATAGAACAGTAGTACTTTAATGTATCTAATATCCGATCATCATTAGAGATTGTATCCACTACCTGGCAAATGATTAGTGTTGTGATGAAATCAATCAAGACACAGCACAGGTTGAAGTACTTTAGTACTGTTCTGTTTAGTTTCTAATTAAAATTATTATATTTTATTGTGTAGTAATCAGAATAGGTTGGTTAGTGCATGACAACATAATATCTTGTCTCCCTAGCCTGTAGAACCAGTCAATCAAATGCTATTTTAACTAGATATCATAGTCTAGGTCTGCTATCTGAGTGGATAGGACACACTGCGGAAATCACCCAACTGCGTCACAAGACAATCCCTCACATGGAACCCTCGAGGTCAAAGGAAAAGAGGAAGGCCAAAGAACACATTACTCCGAGAAATAGAGAAAGACATGAGAAGAATGAACAAAAGCTGGACAGAACTGGAAGGGCAAGCCGAGGACAGAGTCAAATGCCTGCTCGATTGGGAGTAACAGGCGTAAGTAAGTGTGTAAGTAAGTAAGGTCTGTTTTCTGACTTCATAATAACGATAGAGTGAATGAGCTCTGAACAGAAAATACTCTGGTTAAGGTGACAATAGTGATAAAATGTCGTTATAGAAATAAATTTGGATGGATTTATTTCCGGCAGTCGTTTGCTCACACAGACGTTAAGTTGGGATTAAGAAAGATGATACGACAAACTCACTGAGTGATAGAAAACATTTAAAAAATACGTACTAACATGTACACATGTGTAAATTATGCTCAAGGTTACATGCGAGTAATTGTCAAGAGTAAATATGAAGAGGACAGGACAAATAGTAAGATTAGACTTACTTACCTGTCTGTCCTAAGTTTAAAACAAATCATCTGGGCGTCTGATAGCTGATACGTCGTCAATGTACAACAGTAGATAGTTTGTACGGGAACTTGACCCTAAATCTTAACACTTATTTAGATATTTGAACAAGTGTAGAATATTAACTCAGTGTTAATGAGATTAAATTATATTGAAATGAAATATGTCCTCAAAAGACAGCTGATGATGTGTACAGTAAGTACTATGCTGTAGTTCTGTATGGGCTGAACATACTGATTACTATTAACTGTTGTTCTTAATTGATACACAATTTGAGAATTCTGTAGATGCTGTGTTTAGTGATCAGAAATTTAACAAATAGAATTCGTCGAAAACGTGAACAATTACGATCGTGTGTATACAGTCCAATTATACTTCTGTGTTCTTAAAAAGATTTACAATAGTACTTGAAGTTTCAATATTATTGATGGATACCACTCGCAGCGTGATTTCAAAGTATTATACAGTGGAGTGTTGCCCAGAAGTTATTACGTATACCTTCATGAAAGTATGTTGTCAATTAACTAACGTACCATTGAAATCATGAGTCGATCATTGTTAGAACAACATTAGAAACCTGAAAGTGCTGAACAGCCATTACGTCTTAGTATGGGACTCATCAGCAGTTTACATCCATGACCTCCGTACGCAAACGCTTAACCTCTAAACTAGTGAACCGACATCCAAAGATGTTAAAGTCTAACTTTAATCAATCCACGATACGCCTGTCAAATAAAAATCACAAAAAATTTCACCAAACGCGAAAATCGATGTAAAATGTCTTGTCCTCTTCTACAACATTTCGTGACCACTTTCCACTCAAGTTATAAAAATGATATGAGCTTCTGAAGAAATCGTCATAACTATACTCTATCTTGATAATAAATTAAGTTAAACATCTAACGCTCATCATTGGTTTATCAAAACATGTATAAAACATCACATCTACAAGGATGAATAAACTATCACAGTAGTAAAACTGGAGGATAAGCCATACTTAAGGTGACAGTTCAAATATTATCAACTGTACTGAGTGTACATATATATGTCAACCCCTCAGTGCTTGTCTCACTCAGCCTTCAAACAAATTAATTAATCCATTCTTCTGGAGTCATTATTCACTTGTCTTTCGAACATGTCTAATATTTGCTCATATCCTTGGTTATTTTTATTTGAGTGTTTGCACGCTTACTTCGATTATCACATGTCTGGCCTCTTTTTGTTTGATTATAAATACTTATTTGTAACCATGAATCCATCAATGTTAGACCACCATTAGAAACCTGGAAGCACTGGACGGCCGTTTCGTCCTGGTATGGGACTCAACATTGATCGATTCATGGTTACAAATAAAACTTAACAATCTTTACAACGACCGCGCAATGCAATTACATGTGTCCACTAGTGACTAGCTTGGTGAGGAATCTTCTCCGAGTTCTAGTGGGAAGTCTTGACCAGTGAAGTTCAAACCTGTTCGGATGTATACAGGGTATGAGGTTGCGCAACTCCGTGAATTTGATCAAGTTAGACATTAACACTATTAGATACCGGCTCGGTGGTCTAACGGTTAGGGCGTTCGCGCACAGTACTGAAGGTCCCCGGTTCCAGTCCTGCAGGGTGCAGGAGTCGTGGATGTGCACTGCTGATGAGTCCCACACCAGGACGAAACGGCCGTCCAGTGCTTCCAGGTTTCTAATGGTGATCTAACATTGATCATTTCATGGTTACAAAAAAAGCTTAAAAATCTTCACAACAACCCCGCAATATAAATACTTAGTCATATCTCATAGCATTAAGAAGGCTCACTGTCCTTCTCCACTTCGTTTTTACCCTTTTTTATCTGTCTGCATGAACGATTACATGGAATAAATTCATCCAACTGAATTTGTATTTAACTCCGTATGACCACCGTCGCGCAAACAGGGTTCATCTAAGTATGAAAGATACAGAAACTGTGAAAAAGATTTATTTCATAGCACATTTAATTGCTCATTCAAACTGGAGTCAGATCGCGGGCCACTAAAATGGTGATCCCTACCTACTTTAAATTTAACGCATCCACTAAAACACGCATCGAAACTAAACTGATTGGTTGAAATGAAAATAACACTGAAAAAAAGCTAATCGTTCTATCTCACTCAATTGAATGATGACAAAACACAGTCTTTTGACTGACCCTTCGTAACCATGCTGGGAGCTGTTAACTCGTTCGTTGTGTAAGTTGCCTGGAAGTACACCCGATATATATATATATATATACAACGAATGAGTGAACATCTCCCAGCATGGTTTACGAAGGGTCAGTCAAAAACAGTATGCAGTCCTATCTTAGCATACCTGGTAGATAGTGGTCACATTGTAGATAAATCTAGATCTTTTCGAGTGATCTAGCCATAGGAATACGTACATTCAACCCTAATTTATGTGTTCAGAAGAAATTCGTGACACTCCTATCACTTCTGTGCCCATATATGACATAACTAACGATTGACATTATAAATTTTGTTTTATTTTATTTTTATTTTTACACATTTGCTTATCACGTAATGCTTTTGTTGCTTTTTGATGATTATTTGAATTCTATTCATCCACATTTGACCTACTTTAGTTATCATATTTTATAAATTTTCCTACTACCATCGGTTCACCTATCTTCCTACTATCCACTTGTACTTTTGTCTTTGTTCATTCCATTATGAATATCACTCAAATTGCCTTGATTGGTTTAACATTTTCATACATAAATATTCATGTATATTAGAGTAAAGCAGCCTGATGACGATCTAATCGAAAACAACTATATTGTTCGCTTATATATGTGTTGTTCTAATTTTCACAATGGGAACCTTTAATATTCTTAAAACACAGTCTCTCGTCTTCTTCGCCAAGATCATTATCTACTTAACGATGGTAAGAAAAAACCAACACTTGAATTCACTAGAAATTGCTAGTTCAAAATACTTAAACAACCAGAAAATAAAAGTGTTACACATGAACGTAAACATGTCATTTTGATATGCTTGAATTATTATTACGAGTTTACCTTAGTTGGAAAACAAGAGCGAGGATCCGGAGATACGACAGGCTACTCTAATCCGAGTGACCCGACCCCCATTGAGTGAACGAAGACTTGATATGAAGTAGAACCTGTATTCTACAAGCATCAAAAAAGTACGAGGTCCTAGTCCAAAAGAGAATCAGGATCCCGGACTGAGGATCCGGGTCATAAAACGCTACAGATAATTCCTATTTATACATTAAGGTCGAAAAGGAAACAACATTTAAATCTGTGACATTGACAGTTAACACGACCAATAGGAAACAACATTTGAAATGACATTGACAGTCAGGACAACCAATAAAAAACAAGATTGAAGCACGTGACATTGATATCTAGGACAACTATAAAATTAACCAATAGGAATTAACCAATAAGAATTGATCAATATTTCTCTCACAATATTGGATGAATATCCTAACAAAAAGACAACTAACCAACTCCACAATACATCAGAAAAAAAATCTGAATAATACAGTTTTATTAGCATTCAAAAAAAATGTAATAATTTGAATTATTTACATAGTGTATAAACAATGAACAATGTGAAAAAATAGCCCAGAAAAAAAAACTAGAAATAAATTATGTACATACATACATGCATATTTATTTCCAAAAATATATTGTCAATGATCAATTTTAGGCTGTTTTGTTTTTCTTAGTCACTTTTACAATCGATTCATCACTGATACTATTTTCATCAATATCTGATTCTGTCTTGTGTTTTCCATGTGGTACTGATGTTAAACTTGGTGAAATCGATGTAGACGTGATACGGTGATTCACAGACATATCCAGTTGTTGTTGTTCTGACTGGTGATCGATGAAACGTTCACCTAACTGGATACTACGAAATAAATGATTAAAAATCGATAATGACAGTGATAAATTACATTTATTCTTTGGCACAGATATAAATTTACTCGGTATAATAGCAAATGATTGAATCATTTCTACACTGATTGATTTCTGATTATCACCGATAGAAGGAGCGGGTTGATTGATCGACTGCGTTAAACCAATCATTAATGACCAACTTAAATGATAAGTAGATATAATTTGAAAAAATATTTGACGTAATTCCACTGGCATATTCATAAATGGTTTAAATGGTGATAAACAAATTTGTGCAATTGGTAAACGATGACACTGTTGATAATATTGATCATTTAACAATTCAGAATGTAATTGAACAAATAGATAAATTAAAACATTACATATTGCATAATAGAGTTTATTTTCAGCTGATGATAATAAAGATACTAATGAGGACGACGATGATGATGAGGAAGAGTGTGATGAATTGGTGAATAGCCGTCGATTACGATAAGTATAATCAATACACCATGTACACATGTCATGCATCAGTTCAATAATCAAATCAATAAAACAAAATTTCCCATGAATCACAAAAAAACACAAATAAGACAATGCCATCAGCCGACTCTCTTCATCACGATGTTGATCTTTAATGATAGTATTCCATAGGTAATCAATAAAATTAATGACTAATCCACCACGTAAACTACACATATAAAAACATATCATTGGATATCCGACTAAATGCACATTCACTGGAATAATATGCTCAGTGAATAAATCACGTATTCGACGAAATATAGCACAAAGTAAATTCCAATTAAATTTTCCATTGGTCTCTTCTTTTTCTTCTTCTTTACAGATACTACTTATATAGGATATAAGTAGCCAACAAATTAATTCAAGTTTTAACCAATTTTTATCATGATTCGAATGATTATTATTTGATTGTTGAATAATAATAGCGTTGAATAAAACGCTAACATTTGTTTCAAATAAAGTTTTATCAAATTTTTCAAATATTGTATATAGACTAGTATTTTCAAATAAACCGAGGACATTTTCACATTGAACACCGTCAGGATTTAATTCCAAATCAATGATACACATTAAAATCACTGATAGCAAATCACATATTTGATTATCAGTGAATAATTTCACTGCTTTACTATTTGATAATAAAAATAAAAGATTATATGTTGACCAAATTAATTCTTTCATAGATTTACGCCAATTTGGAAATCGTTTAATCAATAATTCAACTAAAATAGTTATAGATTGTGGTAGATTTTGACAAAGACAGTTAAAAAATTCTAATGCAATATGAGTGAAATTGTTGAAATGTTCAGTGTTCAATGGTTGCTGTTGTTCAATGGAATGCTTTAAATAAAACACTTGTGTTACATAAAATTCACATAGTTCATGAAGAAAATTTGGAAAATACGTAATACTTGTTACGTATAAATTAATGATATACATATTAATTGTAGAATTGTTTAAAATCATCCAATGAAATGGATTGACATTGTCAAATAATAACTTTTTTAAATTATTTGCTGTCAGTTCATGCAGATTGTTGGTGATTATTTGTAAAAAATCAATAAATTCATTGGTAGACAATGGATTTGAAAATTTCTCTTGAATAAATTTAAATGCTTTAATATTCTCATTGGATTGTTTGATTAATTCTGTGATATTTTCAATATTAAATTGATTATTTTGTGAATCCATATGTATATATATATATATATATATATATTTACTAAAATAGAAAATATTTCTTTTAAAAACAACCTTGAAACGTTTTTTCTAATATTTAGTGTAATATGTTTATATGTTGTACCGTTTAAATACTTTGTACAAAGATAATAAAGGGCAATAAGTGTAATTGATTAGATAATGATGATGTAACTAAGCAGCTACAATGTAGAACTTTATATGTGCGTACATCAATTCAAGTTGCCATATCACATTAGCATGGTTCGCTCCGTCTTACTTTATGGCTATGAAACATGGCCATTGAGAGTAGAAGATATTCGTAGGTTACTGGTTTTCGATCATAGGTGTCTGCGAAGCATTGCTCGTATATCGTGGGACAACCGAGTGAGCAACGCTGTTATTAGGAAACGGGTGCTAGGTAAGAATGGCAGATCAATAGATGAAGTATTGAAACTTCATCAGTTGAGATGGTTGGGACATGTGTTGCGTATGCCTAACCACCGACTGCCTCGTCGAGCTTTGTTTTGTAGTGTAGGAGTAGGTTGGAAGAAAGTTAGGGGCGGCCAGACCAAAACATGGCAGAAATCCATGAAGTCATTGACGAGTGGACTTAGCCATGTCGGTAATTGTCGACTACCTGGTTGGGGTCCGCGAGAGGATAAATCGATGGTTAGAGACCTTGACTGATATGGCTCAAAATCGTTCGCAATGGCGCTGGTGCATTTATGCTTTGTGTTCTCTCAAATCCTAATCTTCTGGATTCTTCAACAACTCTAGTTTTGTCTTTCTAAACTTTTCTCATCAAATCATACTTCTTGAATAATATCTTCTAATCCTAACCTCTCCGATTACTCCTAATACCTTTACTACCTCTTCTACTATTGGATTTGAATTGACAATTACATCTCTGTGTGCTGATGTGGTATGGCAACATGAACTGATGTACTTACGTACAAAGTTCTACGTTGCATCTGACTGACTGACTGACCACATTAGCATAGAGAGATGTGATTGTCGATTCAAATCCAATAGTAGTAGAGGTAGTAAAGGTATTAGCAGTAATCGGAGAGATTAGGGTTCAACGATATCATTCACGAAGTATGGTCCAGTGAAATTAGTTTAAAAAGAGAAAGATAAAAGTGATGAGGAATTCAGAAGATTAGAATTTGAGAAAAAATAAAGAATGGACGCACCTGCACCATTGCAAACGATTTTGAGTCATGTCATTTAAGGTCTCTAACTATCGGTTACTATCGTCCCACGGACCGCAACCAGGCAGTTTACACTTAACAACATAGTTCAGTCCGCTTGTCAGTAACTTCATGAATTCGTGCTGTGTTTTGAATTAGTTACTCCTAGATTTCTTCCGGCCTACCCCAAAATTGGATAACATCGCTCGTTCAGGCAGTAAGTGGTTAGGCATACGTAAAACATGTCCCAACCATCTCAATTGATAAAGATTTACTACATCATCAACCGATCTACCGTCTTTACTTAGTGTCTTATTTCTAACACACGCACTGCTTACTGGGTTGTAATGTGTTCAAAAGCACTTATGATCTAATACTAGTAACCTTCGAATATCCTCTATTCTTACGGACCATATTTCACACCCATAAAGTAGAACGGAGTGAACTGTTGAGCAATAAACTCGTCCTTTATTTGGCAGACGGATATCTCGCCTACAATATAGGTGACGTAGGTGACAAAAGCAAATCAAGTCGTCTGTAACCGTACCGACATTTCGTCAGACACCAGACCGTTAGGACTCATAAGATTTCCGAATGCCTTACTTTATATCATTAATTCGGGCAACGACGCAATCCAATGCTGAAGCAACATTTTGCACTTACAGGGGAAGAACCGTATCCTGCATCGTTGCATGAGGTGGTTAGAAGACTGTACTTTGTCATCATCTTCACCAATGAACTATTTCATCTTCCTATACTAAGTCAACAAGTAAATCTCTTGGCTGAAGGTCAACACTGAAAAGTTATGCGACGAAAGTATTGTCTCTAAAGGCGAGTATTTTTTCGAAATTAAGTGAAAATGGACAAAGTTAAAAAAAGTACCACTTGAAGTAACCAATCCTGATGACAGTTTGTCAAAAGCCCTAACTCAGCAAGTAGAGTTCGAGTAGGAAGCATTCACAAGGTTAACATACTTCTTTGGTACGCCTGTCAATGACATACTGCAAGAGAACGACACGACTAACAGGTATAAAAGTCACATTAGGTGACAACCGAATCCTACTAACTGTAGCACGGGTACAAAGTTGAATTACAGAAAACTTATACAACTAGAAGATAAATTCAGCCACATCAAACACTAAACTAAATGACAGGAAAATGTGTGTCCGGGGATAGGACTGTGTTGTAATTTGCGTGGAGATAATAAAAGGAAATATATATAAGGTGCAAATTATGCAAACCTAATGCCTATGTGGAACTTTACGAAACACTAGTTCTTGAAAACATAATCTACATGTGGGATCCATGTTTGAAAAAATCTGATCGTTTGTTCAGCAAAATTGTTTGAATTTCTTTAGGGTAATGATCGAAATTAAACTTGTTTGGAAGAAACGTAGGAATCATTTAAATTTTAACCGCTGAGATTATTTAAAATATAATCTTCTTCATATACTCGGTGACCAATATCTGTCACACTATTCATTTAAATGCTAATAAACATTTGTACAAATAATTTCGTTTTCATATAGATTTCTGTTAAAAGATGTAGGATTGTGATCTTACTGATAATAACAAGGTTGTGTTGAAACGAAAGCCTACCGAACATATATTTACTTGAAGTGGTTGAAAAAGGTTGTACTCATTTTATCTCTGAGTATTATATCTAGCGATGAAACTGATTAGGTTTAAACTACATCACAGACTACGAAATTAGTGTAAACGGAATTCTCTACAGGAAGTCAGTGTAAATTTAGTCGAAAGTACAATTTATTTTCAGTTTTCATTTAGCCAGGGAAATGATGTAACCTTCAAGAAATTTGCCTTCGTGATAAGGCATTCCCAGAAATTCGAATATTATTGACAAGATAAATTTACGTCAAACTTTGTCTTTGTTAAGATAATTCGCCTCAGCATTTTGTATTAGGAATTAAAAGTGAACACTTCTCCGAAAAGGTCTGCACCAAGTGGGGATAACGGGTCTTTAACCTGTATTCGATATATACGCCGGCTATTCTTAAAAGCTGTTCACTTTGGGAATCGGAGAATAAATGTGGAATCCCTAAGACAAAGTCATTTGCCATGAGCTTTAGTAAACTTAACATATTTTAGCTTTTTAAGGATATAAAACACAACAAAACTTTATTCGGGAGTTTTGATACACAAGAATCTGCAAACAAACTGCTTATAACTAGGATTAGGGAATATAAATGTCACCATAACTCACTCCTGACGTAACGCAACTATCAAAAAGTAGTCACATCCAGTGTCCAATATCTTTTACATGAGCTACCATAAACGGATTTATTTATTTACACTCTATTCATGTTCTTTTGGTACGGTTCCAGACATTTGGTAGTGTCCAATGAATAGTAGTCTGGCCGCTTGACGGTACTAATTCTAGACAGTTGACAGTTATTTATGAATTTGTATGTCCTGTGATTTGAGAGTGTGGTTGTCTCAGAAGAGTAGTGTTTCTGGATACCGGCAGCTCTTTCATTACCAGGCCGGAGATCAGTTAGTTTCGCTGTGAAGAATAATAATGAGAAAACCGTGATGCTAATAAGAAGATTTAAGAACTAAGTAAACGAGTGAATAAAGTTGTAGAACCTCACCATTCATTCATCATATTATCGTGGAGGAACAATAATTTTATGCCTTATGACATTAAATTAAGATAACTATGGCATTATACTGATGACTCATGGACTTACAGTATGTTTGACTGTTTGTAAACATGGAGTCATATCGCGGGTCACTAAAATGGTTAGCCCGACGTCTAACATAACGCAACCAGCAGAACTTCGTCGACAATGAAGCTCTGGATGTTAATATTTCCAACGAATAAATCAACATTACAGACTCAATTACCAAAGCTGACAACACAATTTTTTATCCAAAGTTCACAACGAAGCTAGTTCAGGGAGGATCTGCACAAACGAAAGTTGTATTATCTTATCGTTATTCCGTTCATGTATTAATCCGTCGCATCAGTATTCTTGCTTAAGGTAAGCTCGTTCCATTTCTTTTACCATATCTCATCATTACATTCCGAATCACTCATCACAGCATCGGCTGTATGATTATCATATGGCTAATATGTTCAATGTACTGATTAGCTTTTCGTACCCCGAACATCTTGAAACTTGCTAAGTGTATTGGTGGTATTTCGACTCGCTCATGAGCTCCAACTATCAGTCTCAGTAGTCGAGCGAACTTGCTACATGTGGATGACAGCATATATTAGACAACCATGACGCCAGATGCAGTTAGTAGCGCTATCATAGACATAAGTTTGGAGTCATAGTCGACATGCAATTAATGTTCATTCATCGCATTTGTACGCAGTATTCGTTGCCCTCTATTTTTTTAACTAATGTCTCGACTGAAATTTCCTATTATAACTGCAGCCACTTGCTTGATCGATGAGTAAAGCCATAACATCTAAACGTTTGTCTAATTTCATTACGTTTACTTACAAATATGCAACTGTACGCTACAATCATTACTCTCGAACATTGGTCCATTCCTGAAATAAATGAAGTTTCACTCTGCTAAAAAAATTGGAACATTGAGTTTAGAGCTAGTCTCTCAGAGAAACACTCATGTTCGCCGTATTCAAGTCATTTTTATTTGTCCGGACTATACAGTCGTATGTAATACAACTTTCTTGACACACGAACTCAGGTTTACATGTAGATACTTACAAAATACTTTTATCTTACATATTAACTTCGTAAATTTTGATATTTTGTTTCGCAAATACAAACATTTGTTTCTTTGTTTGCAGGGAGATAGCTATTGTAGCACCTTATCATTTAATCA